TAAAAAATGCACTAAAAAGGACAGTAATGGGGCAGTATAAGGGTCAGTAGTGGGGCGGTAAACAGGGCAGTAATGGGGATGTAAAAAAGAGGAGCAGTGGGGCAGTAAAAGGGGTATTAAAAAGGGCAGTAAAAAGGACAGTAATGGGGCGATAAAAGGGACAGCAATGGACAATAAAAGGAAGCTTAAGTCTGGTTGCTATTAGCTACAATAATTGGCCTTTCTTCAAATCAAAGTGGAAAGTAGGGGCAGTGAGAGGTGAATGCAGAGTCTCTTTACTGGTAATACTGTTGCAGAAAAAGGATATCAGCACACGGACATATAGCACAAGCCGCTTCTTTATTGATCCATAAAATCAATTACACAAGAAATGAACAGAGACTTCTAACATGTTTCAGGCACACAGGCGCTTAATCATAGAATGCACAGGCCAATACTTCTGGATGTTCTAACCACATTGAGGGAAATTTATCAAATCTTAGACAGAATCTGGAACAGTTGCCCATGGCTACCAATCAGCTTCCACCTTTTGAATTCAAAGCCTAACTGAATAAACTGAAAAGAGAAGCTGATTGGTTGCCATGGGCAACTGCTCCAGATTCTGTCTGCTCCAGTTTTGATAAATTCCCACCCCGGTCTGCTTTACATCCTGTGCAGGGGACAATACAGAATCTGATTATGAACAAAATCAAATCTTTTTGCCCTTGATGAGCTGGGATGTATGCAGCCTCTGGAGCACCAGATATAACCAGCTTTGAGCTAAAGGAGCTAGAGAATAATTATTATACTGCAAGAAACAGTCAGGTACCAGGGGAACAAAGGTTCAGTTAGCAATAGCGCTGGGACAGTCAAAGCAGAAATGAGCCCGTCTCTTGGGAAGAGTCCGGTGTAAACATGGCGCTCATGTTTTCAAGAATCCTTCATTGTGCAAAATAACTGTACAGTACAATCTGCTTCTACACCGAGCAGAAGACTGTAAGATCTGATCTTTTTAAGCATAAAAAGGTATCTAAAGAATAGCAGTATATTTCCCAGAATCTTAGTGATTAAAGGCACAATCCTGTCACACCTTTCGGGTGTTTTAGTGCTGCTCCGTGTCAAGACCCCTGGCATCTGCACAGTAGTTTTAAAGGTAAAGTCCACCTTTTGGGAACAAATAATAATAAATGCACTCCATAAAAGAAAAAAATGTGTATTTAAAAAAAAAAATGTTTGGCATTGGAGCCAGTAAAGCATTGCAACAGCGATCAGTGGATAAGGGGTGCAATGCTCTGGCTCCTGCAGACCTTTCCATGTCCATACTGAGGTACAGACATTCAGGAGATACTGTGAATGGACTGTGTGTCACCGCTTTTATATTCCATTGAGTTTCAAAATTCAGAAATGTACACAAGACTGTGGAGAGAAGAGCCC